TGTTATCTCAGATCTGCCACCAGACTTGAGTTTTTTTCCAGCAAATGCTGCTTCTGATTTCCAGCATCCGCAGTCCTTTGGGGTTTTTCTTTTGGTGGAACATGTTCAACCAGAGGGACTGTTAAAGGAAAAGACTGCAATTCAAAAGTTCGAAGGAAGGGTCGCAGGACCCGAAACGTAAACTCTTGATTTTGCTTCACAGATACTACCAGACAAGCTGAGCTCTGCCAGCAACTTCTGTTGGTGTTGCAATTCAAAAGTGGTCGGTTGGCTGTAAAGTGCATTGGGCCGTCCTGATGTCGTGAAGAAAGGCTACATAAATGTCATGTTTTTCTTTGACACAGTTTGCCGATACAGGGAATGGCTGGGGTTCTTTCCTGCACTTAACAAATCGGGGCAGGTGACCGGCCTGGGCTTCGATCAACACCCAGTTCCAGCACAGCTGCCGGCCAACATTTTAAAGCCCGCGAGTTGGCGTCCCCACTGCGGCCTTTTCACTGCTGCGGCAAGTACCGACCCGAAAGAGACCTAGCCGTTCCTTACCTGTACCCAGGATGAGCACATCCACCTCCACCGGGAGAGCGTCCGCCATCTTCCCACAACGCACGTGACTCAGAACCCGGAGGTGACGACACCCTTTTTGCCCCGCAAAGCTGTCAATCAAAGTGAGATCCGCCCCGCTGCTGTAAATCATTCTGCAAACATCCCACTTAGCAAATTATGCTTGTAATCAAGACAAGAGCTTGATCATTACAGTCGTTCTCACAACAAAATGTTACACCATAATCCTGGCAAGGAGGTAGCATAAAGCAGTGGTGCAGCAACCTGCTACCCAGTCACAAATTCTGCAACAAGTAAATGACAGGTCAGCAGCAATATCAAACTTGAAATCGTAAAACAATAGGTAATTTGTCGTTTGACAAGAACGTAGCTGTATTGATTATATTAATAAGTATATCCACAATGCGAACTACCTTTGATATTTCTCTGATTTAATCAGAGTTCGATATGGTGTTCCTTAAATCAGTTTAAAATCATTCTAAATTCTCAATGTTGCATTCCAGTTGGTCCAGAAATCTTTTGATGTGATTTTTCTTTTAGCAAAACTAACTGAATTCGACAGCGTTAGTCATTTGTGGCAAATCTATCACTTTGGAATTCTGTCCCCTTACTGACTGACTAATTTCGGGAAAGTTGACTGAAGTATGAATAACTCGTTTGGCATAGGTTTCCCCGTCAGTCTTGCCTTACAACCGACGAAAGAATAATTAATCCAATTCTTATGATCCGTTCGTGAAGTCTAACATGCAAAATGCCAACTCGGAAAATCACATTCCTTTTATTAAAGAACATCTTTGTGGCGGATGTTGAAGCATCTCTGCAGAGAAATGCAATTGGACATGTGGGAAACTGAATTAGGTCGTATTTCACTTTAGTACACTATCGAATTGCCTTAGCGTTAACAAGGACACAGCTTGTCAATCTGGAAAAAAAGCATTTCGCCTGCTTGTGGCAATAATACGCCAGATTTTCAAATAAAATGGACACGTAACATGCATGTATCAGGTTAATGTTACAGGTATGTAAATGGCGATAACAAGTTTCTTTTGTTGTATTGCAACACAGCATTGCGCCGCCAGCAATTGTAATCATGCAACTTTGAATTCTGTGAGCAGTGTAACCCACCATTTGTGTGTAAATCTTGGTTTATTTGAGCTAAGCCTGCCGAGACCACGCCGCCATACCCATATCTCCTTGAATTAAATGAGAATTCTGCGCAATGGTAGCGTAACATCAGGAGACTCGTCAGATTCTTGGAGGGGTCGTTCTCAGTAAGGGGTGATTACTCAGCATGCGATTAGTAAACTCATTTTCATTTAACAAATGCAATACTTTTATGAATGAAACGAGATGACTTGTGCTTCCGATGGACAGGGATACCACTGAGGGTACGGGGTTTCAGCAGCGATCTGGCAGAATGTGTCTTAGGGAAAAGTTAGTTTCCTTTTTTTGCTAACTCTAGAGATGTGGCTATTTCTGAAACAGCTGCCTGCTCCCACCCCCTCGTTTTTCATATCCAATGGTTTAATATTTGTATTGCCACACGGCCGATCTCGCCTAACCTCGGTGTTCAGGCAACAACTTACACACAAACACCCTTGTAAGGACAGTCTACTACTTGCTGAGAAACTAAAACGGTGAGCATCATTGGGCGAGATAGAAAAGAAAACTGCAAGTAATTTTAAAAGCCCGACAATAGCGACTGGGTAATAAGATCCCTTTTGCATATTATCTAAATAAAACAGCCCCCTCAAAAAATGTGCTAAGGAGGAAAAAAAACATTAGCTTGAATATATTAACTAACCACCAGCCCGACACGCATGCTATCCTTATAACAAGCCAAACTGTTCACAAGGTTGACAAACCATCATTGGTCGTACAGCATTCGCTAACAATGTGGTCGTGTTGCTAATGCTTTGGGAAGTCTCAAAACACGAAAGGCGCTACATCAATAGGTAATGTTCTGAAATAAAATGAACAAAATCATTATTAAAACTAACAACCTCTCAAATATCATTGTTATAATGATTAAACTGTTAGTACCCACTGATTTACAGTTAATTTCAAAGTTTTAGCATGACTGTGGATTTATTAACAAAGTGTTTAAAATACGACATAAGACCCTTAAGAATTTCTGAGAAGCCACTAACCATCCAGGTCAGTGGTGATAAAGACGATGTAAAAAAAACCGTGGGCTGCGTTTGTTCCAATTAGTCTCACTTGTGCGCACAACTATTTTCAAAGTTTTGTAAGGCAAGCCTCCCTATTTGAAAATTGAAAACTTTCCACTTTACTGTAACAAAGTTTAAATAAATACAAAATATCGTTTTAAATAAAACGCTGGAAATACTACTCAGGTCTGACAGCATATGCGGAGAGAGAAGTTTCAGATCAATGACTAACTTCTTTGTCCAGAGATGCTGCCAAGATCTGCTGAGTGTCACTAACACTTTCTGTTTTTGTTTCACATTTCCAGCATCTACAGTATTTTGCTTCTAAACCAACCAGATGTACTGTCTTCATACAAGAGTTTCCTAAGTTTGTGAAATGTAACCCATTGTAGATTTCTTTGAAAAAAAAAGTCATTAAAGCTTTTCTCAAAATAAAAATTTAGAAGAAATGGAAGGAGGATGATTTATGTTAATACATTCAAAAATGATTTGTGCTCATGGCCGTTGCTATCGTTACAAATTATCTTTCTGTCATTCACAAAATACTTAGCCAATAACCATTGCAGCAGGTATTCGTTTCCGATTATATAAGTTCTATTAGCGTATTATTTACATATTACATATCATGCCAATAGACAGATTTATCGCTTAGTTCAGTATTTACCAGCCAAGGTGACATTCCAGTCGACTCTGTTTAGTTTGATCTCAAAGGAAGAATAAGGAGATGATCTTGTGGTTTTTACATCTGTGTAACTTAAATGTGTAGAATCTTTGTGTTTTATTCTCGAATCGCCCTCTCTGCTCTGCGTATCTTCGAATTCCCTCTATTTTTAGATAACATGCCATCTGCTGGGTTAACAACAATACACGTTTTCCATTTGAATTCATTCCTCAAAATTAACCCGTGGTTTGCGTAAGAAGATTTAAAATAAGCAGGTATTATTTGTACACCTGTTTATAATCCGCAAACGCGTCAGAAGTCTCGACCCTGCCCATCGGAACACCAAGCAGGGATGCTGGAAATTTGAAATAGAACAAAAACAACAAAAAAGGTCTGCTAACACTCGGTAGCTCTGGCATTATCTGTGGAGAGTGAAAAGGGTCAATTCCTGAAAGGTTCACGCTGTTTCTCTCTCCACCGATGCTGCCTGACCGGCTGAGTGTTTCCGGCATCACCTTTTCTTTTGGGAAAAAGAATACGCCAGTGACACGATAAAAGGAAAGACGAATTGTAAAACTGAATTCCAGTGAGTATTTTACCTGCGGATTGTAGGGAGCGTTCGCCTTGAGCTTTACGGCGACGTTAACTGGATCTCGGTTACCCCAATGGCTATTTCTATTCAAGCTGATATAAAATAAAAGTTTACGTTAAGTTTTCTGTCTCAATCAATACATCAGATTATAGATGCGATTTCTACGTTGTGTATTTCATAGATGATTCCACTTCATGCAACAATTAATCTCGCGTTGTACAATTCCGAATTAAAGTTGGGTGACTCAAACAAAAGGCGGAATCTGAAGATCCAAAAATAGTTGTCTATTTCACCCTGTTTGATCCAAAGCCCCTAACGTGTTGTTGACATGAATATATACAAATGACTTCATTGTGTGCCATAAGTGAGACGATGTTACATCAAATAAAAATGCAATCTTTTGATTGTAAGAATCAAACGTTGAGTTTTTGAAGGCAGACAAAACTAAAGTAGATTGAAAATGCTTGAACTCGGCCGAAACTTCCAGTCTTGAGAGTTGCGTTTTCAAATGTGCACATACTTTAAAACATGCTTCATCTGAGCCCATTTGGTGAAGATGATGCAGGAAAATTCATTTAAATCAGCTCTTGCATGTATGATCAGGCCCAGTTAGTACATTTTTTTCAAAGAAACGTTTCTAATTAAATAGGAAAGTGCGCGGGTGTAATGCGGGATAGAATTTAATTTTGAAACTTCAGGAAGGCAAGGAGGGAGGGCAGCTTTACGGCTGAAGCGAGCAGCTCCCGTCCATTCACTGATTTATTGATGCATGCTCAGCACGTACTTCAGCGAAGGCCTGGTGGAAGCCCCACCCCCGGCCTCTGATTGGCGAAAACCCACCGCGAACGTCCAATGATGAAGGTGTCTGGCGAAGCAATGTTGCGGATTGGATGGGAGCAGTGCCCGTCACAGTGGAGGGGGCGTGGTTATGGGGAAGAGTCGGTGACTGCGGCTCTTCTCACTCATTTCTTTACTACGTTGCACAGATACACAGAGAGACACAGGAAAGTACATGTGGACAAGTGGCCATGGCTGTATCAGCTCCCGTTATCCCACCGCCCCCTCTCACACCCACTTCTACCCCGTTAACAGGAGGCTTGTACCGGACCGATTCGGTGTACACCAGCCCCACGGAGTCTCCCAAACTCAGCAGCATTGGGAACAATCTCAACAGCGGGAACGAGTGTAAGATGGTCGAGCTTCGTGGAGTCAAAGTGGCGTCTTTCAATGTGGACGGGCAGGAGCTGATCTGCCTCCCGCAGGTTTTTGATCTCTTCCTCAAGCATTTGGTGGGCGGTTTGCATACGGTTTACACCAAGTTAAAGAGACTGGATATAACGCCCGTGGTCTGCACCGTGGAGCAGGTCAGGATCCTCAGAGGACTCGGAGCCATCCAGCCCGGCGTCAACCGTTGCAAACTCATATCCAGGAAAGACTTTGAAACTTTGTTCAACGATTGCACCAACGCGAGGTAAGCACCGTCTTTTTTTTTCTCTCCCACATTATTTTTCTCTTTCTCTTTTCACACAACACTTTTTTTTCCTCCTCCTCTTTCAGTATTTCCACCCATCTCCCTTTCCCCATTGTCACCTGTTTGGGAATTTTTAACCGCTTGTCAATTGGGTGGGGGGTGGGGTTGTTCAATGATCAGAGACATTGTGGAATTCTCAT